GACTACTGGGGCTGTTCCCCCCCAAAATTACACCCCCTGCCACACCCACATCCATCTAGATGATCTGAACGGTCTAAATTTAACGCAGAAACATTCAGCCCGCTGCTTGAAATCATTGCCATATATATATATATATATATATATATATATATATATATTATAAGCTGTAAAGAAAACAAATAAGAAAATGGAAGATATGCGAGATATACGGCAAGAGGATGAGCATTATAACCGAAATTCTAATCAGAAAAGTTAACACAAGATTTCTGTATAATTTAATCAAATCAGAGCAACATTTTAAGAGAAAAATCTTAGAAGAAAATCTGATCTTCCTTATTCATTTGATTGATTTATATAAATGTTGATTGATTTGTATAGCTGTATTTTGATTTCCTTGACTATTGTACTATGTATAAATACCTCATAAGATTAATGAAAATACAATGAGCCTTTCTACCAAAAATTACAAAGCTCTCACAAGCCACAATAGAAAAGCATAAATTAAGGACTTTTGTAACTAAAAATGAGTTCCAAACTTATTTCATTCAGTTCGCGAATTTAAGTTTTTAATTTGAATTAAAATGTGATTTTACGTGAAAATTTTTTATTATAATAAAAATTTTAAATATAACTTTTTATAATAATTTTTAACTATAGTAAAATTAAAATTGAAAACTCGAATTAATGGAATAAACGAGACCTTAATTAGACTCTAAGCCTCGTTCACTTCGCGAATTCGAGTTTTCAATTCGAACTGAGATGTGACATTTTGTGAGAACTTTTTATTGTAATAAAAAAAATTAGATGTGACATTTTTTGAGAATTTTTTACTGTAAAAACTTATAACTGAAAACTTAAATCGTTAAAATAATAGTCTCCAAGTCTCTAACGTCACCCTCGAAGAACCAAACCTAGATGCCTAAAGGACAACTTGCTAAACGACAAAAACCGCATTCCCTAAACCCAGACCGCGTATAAAATACGTATTTATACTCTTTTTTTTTAAGGTTTGTAGCTACTCTAGCTACAACGTATTTGTGGTACATTTGTATCCACGCATTATGCATATACAAAATTGTACTTGTGTAGTATTAAATTGAGGATTTCAGTTCCCAAAGTCCACTCAAATACACATGGATCAGAAGCCCAAAATATACCTCTCATTGTCTCTCCAAAATGCGTATGTCATATTCACACACACACACACACACATATTCATACACACACACACACACATATATATATATATATATGATATATGCTATATATACGTTTTGACTTCTCAAACAAGAAAACCCGACACATATTCCTACCAACTCTCTGCCATTGTTGAAACCAAAGACATATTTGAAAAAAGAAAAAAAAAGAATGATAATATAAGTAAACCAACTAGTACAAGAACAACATTACGAAACTTGGAAGTTTTTCAAACTGCGTCATTTTATTATAATCTTTCTCAAGTCCAACCAAATACGTACAAAAGATTCCAACAATACTTAAAATGTAAGCAAAAGGAAAAATGGTGATACAAAAACTAAAGAGGTCTTCTTCACAATATGAAAACAAAAAAAAAACATATATATGTATGTCAACTTAGAATTGAAACAAGAATATGACCTCGTTTACTTCGTTGATTTGAGTTTAAAATTCGAGTTGAGATATGATTTTATGTGAAAGTTTTTTATTATAATAAAAAAATTAAATGTGATTATTTATGAGAATTTTTTACTATAAAAAACTTAAATTCTAAACTCGTATCAACAAAGTGAACGAGACATTTATTTTTCTCTCTTTCTTGACAATTGTGGCAAATTTCTCTTCTTTTGACTTCCGACCCGTATGATTTCCAATGCAATGTTCACCGTCTCGACCACGATTTCTTTTTCCCAAGCTTATTTCTTTTTGCCTCCCCCAAAAAACGTAGACTTTTTTTTTCTTCTCCATAAAATGAACCACATAATTCAAGATCAGATATTGTGCACACCATTTCATAACGTGCCTAGCACGGTGTCGAAAAAACACAATTTTTTTTTTCATCACAACAAATTTTGTTGGTCTAAACAATTAATGCACGACGAGACTTGAATTGAGGAAAAATAATTAAACAATTATTAGCAGTAATAACAACATTAAATTGTCATATCATGGACTTGACTTTGAACACTCACTTGTTAATTAATAATATATGTACTATTTTCTCTCTCACTCTTTTTTTGCCTTTTCCTCTTTGCTTTCTTGTTTTTAAAATCTTTCTTTTTCCTTCTTTAGAACTTTAGATAGATCAGAACCGTTGAGATACAGACACGTGGCGTCTTCTGAGGTGGGGAGACACAATGGAGATGAGTCCACCAAGTGGGGGCCGCATCTTGGACCTGTAAATCATCTCATCGTACGGCCTCCGGTAGAACTTCAAGAACGGCAGGAACGATTCCCGACACCTCTCAGTTCTGCTGACGTGGCACTCCCTGCGGAAGAATAGCGCCGGCGACTGGAGGAACGACGGCCGTGGGGTCCGCGCGTGGGGGGTTCTGGTGGGGTCGCCGGCGCCGTAGATTCGACGCTCCGGCAACGGCGTCGACGACGGGAAGAGGCTCCGTTTCGAGATGCCTCCGACCGGGGTTCTCGCCGCCGGCGAGGCGAATGAGAGGGAGCGGGCGTTGAGAGGGGAGATGAGGGCGGGGCCCAGAGGGGTGAGGTGGCCGGAGGCTGTGGGGCCCACCTTGGAGGCTGACGTGTCGGTGAGGCTGAGGTACCAGGGCTTGAGGGAGTCGAAGTGGTGGGAGACGGTGAAGGAGAAGCGGGACGACGCGCACGACCCAACTTTCGATGCCGTTTTGATAGACGACGCGTCGTATCGGAGGGACGAGCACGCTCGCGGGTACGACGCGAAGTCGTTGAAGTCCAACGACTCCTCAAAGTCCAGAGACGACACCACACTCGTCGTCGTTGATAGCTCCACAAACGGTTTTACACCCTGCCCCAACAAAATAAAATAAAAATTCAACACAAATATTATAGTACTATATCAAGGTAAAAATGGTTTTCACTGCAGTAATTATCATTACTTTTACTATTAAAATTTACCTTCCAAAGATAGGAGAAGAGAGAAGGAGGGTCTATGACAAAAGCCTTGTAAAGGCGTCCAGGGTAGTATTCGGCCACAACTTTCAGTGCTGCCAACAACAAGTTCATAAAAGCCGATGCTGACCTAAAAAAGCCTGCAATTTTTATCCCACGCCACCTTCAATTATAACCTCATTAATTCCGTAATAATCCAATATTGATCTACTCTACTTTTCAATACCATTTTTCCCCCAAAAAAAAAATTTTTTATTTATATCCATTTCCATAATATTTAATTCAAAAGAATAATAAACGTCTGAGCTTGCAGGGAGTATATCATCTCTGCAAAAAAAAAAAGTAAAATCTGGGTACTTCTGCCCAACATCATATTATTAATTTAAAAAAAATATAAAAAGGGCAAAAAAAAAAAAAAAAGAACAAAATAGGTAAGTTGTGTAGCAAAAGACTACAGTGTCGAAGTTGACCAATTATCAAAAGGAGTTCATTAATTCACTCCATTTCCCGATATGCCCCTACATTCCCGGACCCTTATGGAGGGGTTGGACCGTGACACCTGAGGGCACTCCGGACAATGTCTGAAAATATCTCAGACACAACCCTGCCGAGACTCCGACACTCTGCTCTCATTTAACTCCGCTATATCTCCATCGTGCGTGCGGTGTTAGTCTGATTTTACCAAACTACCCCTTCATTTTCAAAAAATGTTACTATATTTCATATGCTTAGAAGGGTAAAATTGGGAATTTGGGGGAAGAAAGATCTTACTTGCATCGAAAAGGAGAACAAACTGTTCCACGTTCTTTGGCATGGTCCCAATGGCCACCTCCAGTGTGAACACCAGTAAACGAATAAACCTTAAAAAATTTTAAAACCAAAATCAATTAGTACAAGTGATCATAAGAGATTTTTTTTTAATTAAAAAATTTAGATAACGAATATTGAGTTTTTGTGTTTTTCTTTTGTCTGGTTCCTTACAGTTTCTGAGAGTGGAACTTCTGATAGTCTTGCTTGATCCGGAAAATCTGCAACCAAGACAACATTTTCTTCACACATGCATTTGAATATTTGTTTCTTTTTTTTTGAAAAAAAACAAAACAAAACAAATTTTTTTAAAAAATAAATAAAAGGGTATTTTTGTAATACCAAAACGGGCCTAGATTCCTCATCATGCCCTGAAACATAAGCAACTCCTTCGGCCAGTTCAGCTGAAAACTCATCAGCTATCAAGTTCTCTGTGGTTCAAAAACATAAAAAAAAAGAAAATTAACAAAAATAATAGTTCAAAACCCAGATATAGGTTCTTATCACTTAAAAAAAAATTGGATAAATATACAAATGTTTGGAGGAAATAGTAGTGGCTTTAATCATTGCTAGGGATTTCACTTTAACGGCCCATATTCAAAGTGCCAAGGAGAGAGAGAGAGAGAGAAGAGAGAGAGAGAGAGAGATTCCTTAGCTAGCATAACAAAAAGAAAATACAATATCCCATGAAAAGATAAAAAAAGCTTTTTGAAAGATACGAAGAAGAGAAAAGATTTTTGACTACTATAGTACTACAACAACATACCAGTGCCTAAACTATCTCTCCAAGAAAGACAAGCCCTTAGTTGCTTCGCAGCTTTCTTAACATTTTCCCCTTTAGCTTTCAAAAACCTCTCAACGCAAGCGCTATTACAGAACTTCTCCTGCCAAACAAAAACTCGACGAAATTAAGGAAAGAAAAAAGAAAAAAAAAAAAAAAGAAGAGATAGTTACAAATATATTTTCATGAATATATATGTATATAAACTGACCTGTTTGAGAGAGAAAGGTGCTTGTTTCTTGAGAAGATCGAGAACTGCTTCAACTCTTGTAGACATGTTATTGTTGTTCTCTTTCCGATTTTTCTGTTCTTTCTTTCCCATTTCGAAGAACTTTTTTTTTTGGACAAGGGTTTTGAGAATGAGAATTACTTTTCAAGCTTATGAGATATTATTGTCTGCACTAATTATTATCACCAAGAATGGAGGAAAACACAGAACCCCAGTAGTGTACCAAACTTCTGCTTCACGCAACAATCTAAAAACTTTGTGGAGAGAGAGAGAGTAGAGAGAGAGAGGGCGAGAGAGAGAGAGTTCTTGAGTGTGTGTGAATGAGAGGGAAATGAACTTAAAAGAGGTTGAAAACTACTAATAACAACGTTGAATAAAGAGAGCCCCTATATATATAGCGAAACGACGGCAAATAACGCCGTTACAATGCTTCACATTCACACATGGGATAACCGAAAAAGAAAAAAAAAACATTATTAAAGTAAAGAGGTTTTTTAAATTAAAAAGTTAAAAAAACCAACGTTAACTGGTGCTGTTCTTTTGGTCAATTGCAATTGCCAAAACTAACATCATCGTAATGATAGCGATTCGTAACGGAAAACGTCGGCTGATGCCGGGCCCAGGACCAATCCTACGGCCATTGCCATTACTCCCTTAAATGCACTCTCTCATTTATAATTAGTTTGTGTCCCCACTTGTCCCACACAGCACCCATCAGCATTAATATTTTGGGGGCTAATTTTTTTTTTTTTGCTTCTCTTAAATAGTTATGGGGATATTGTCCGTTTTTGCTTTCTGAATTTTAGTTTGTAATATCACATCATATTCATTTTATTGATTTAAATTTAAAATTTAAGTTTTATTACAGTAAAAATTTTTTAAAAACAGTCACATATATTTTTTTTACTAAAGAAAAAAAGCTTTCACATAAAAGTCTCATTCATTTTACCGATTCAAGTTTAGAATTCGAGTTTTACTATAGTAAAAAGCTCTAAGAAACAGTTACATCTAATTTTTTTATTATAATAAAAAACTCACATAAAGTAACATCTCAACTTGAATCAGCGAAATGGGCCCAAAATCACATATTAACTCGAATTAAAAATTTGAATCAGCAAACTAAACGGGCGATAATGACCTCCCAAAATAAGGTCGTTTTATTCAATTTATTATATATACGATTTTTCTCACATAAGAAAGTTCACCAAAATCGTAATACATGAGACTGATATTTTGAGAGAATTTTTTGGTCACCACGATTGTATTTTCTCTATAAGCACTGTTTTATTTAAGTTGACCAATGTAGTCAATATGACCATAAATCAGGTGTTGAATTCACCGGTTTATTAGAACCACTTTTTTTAAATATATATATATATATTAGCACCATTATTTTTATCACCACGCGTTGATGTAATTCATTTTTTAGTTACAAAATAATCTAAATATTTAATGGCTTGTGATTATGTCTAGATGATAACATGTAAGATAATATGTTAGAAAACGATCATAATATTGGAGTGTCAATATAAAAACAGACAATTTTATACGTTTTTTGTTTTTTTGTTTTTTTCTTATTTGATGAATAAGCATTCAGACACATTTTTCAAGGAGATAAAAGATGTCACAAATATAATTCAGAAGGTTCAACGTTCAACAGTGAAAAATACAACTAAACTCAATTCCCCTTTTTTCCTTTTTTAGCTTGTTTGTGAAAAACAGCCAGAAACCACCAGTATTCCTTAAACGGCTAACTATTCGTTTTCTTGCTAAACAAGGGGAGTGGGCAAAAGAGCTATTCCAAACTGTATGCTCATGTGTTTCACTATTCAGATCATCGTCTTCATTTAATAGCTTGGGAAGCCGATAAATAAATAAATTAATAAAATAAAGAGAATCTTGGAAAATACTATTTTGCTCCGCCGAAACCGGAAGGAGAAATTGTTTTTCACTATTGGATTGATTTTTTATCCGCATTAACAATTTACATTACGGGATACATAACTATTCTCACTACAAATCATACCATTAAAACACCATGTTCATTTCACCAATTCAAGTTTACAATTCAAGTTTTGCTATAGTAAAAAGCTCTCAGAAATAATCACATTTAACTTTTTTACTACAGTAAAAAGCTCTCATATCTCACCTCGAATTAAAAACTCGAATCAGCGAACTAAACGGTTGCTAAGGGCCTGTTTGGGTTTTGATTCAAATTCTTTATGAGAGAACTATTGGCGATAATTTTTTTTATTCAAATTCTTTGTGAAAGGAAAAACATTGTAACTGAATCATGGATTGGGTTTGAATACAAGTGCCAAACAACCCTTAAGTACTTGTTTAGTTTGAGAGTTCAGAATTTAAATTTTGTTAAAGAAATTAAAACATTGTAGCAGAACTTTTTAAATTTAAATTTTTTGTGAGAGAAAACAATACTGTTTAAATCAAAATCAACATGATTTGAACCCTCAAATCAAACAAACATTAATTTAATGATTAAACAATACAATTTCTTTTCTTTTTATTTTTGAGATACAGTTAAACCAAGGATGAAAATATCGATATTTATGGAAATATATGTACTTAAATTTTACGAAAATATCGATATCGATGGAAATTGATGTAAAATATGGATATTAATACTAAAACACTCTATTTTCAAATGAGATTTTAAAAACCATAAAATATATAACAATACATTAATTAGAAACTCTCAATCAAAATACCAATTATTTGATAAATATGTAAGGTAAAGTGTGATTATAATACCATAAATACTAAGCACAAGTTCACAAATTAAGTAAAATTGCTGAAAATCAACATAGTACATATACCATACATATATAGTTTCATACATGATGATAAATTATCATACCAAAAGGAGCTTCTAGGAGGTTGGAAGGTATTTTGAACACATTTTAGTTTAAACAATATTGATACCAAGATATGGAGTTTGAATAGTTTCTTATATAATTTCGGACATGCCATATTTTTTAGATTTTTTAAAAGAAAAATAAAATATATATATATATAAATTTGTGAAAATTTATGTGGAAATTTATCGATATTTTCACAAAATTTTTGTAAATTTTCACGATATTCGGTCATTTAACACTATGTTTTACTCGACAATGGAAATTTTCTTAAAAATATTGATATTTATGGAATAATCCATGGAAATTTTAAGATATTTTACGAAAAAGATACTACACCCCTATTTCATATGCGTACTTCTAAAATATAGAAATTTCAGCGAAAATATCAGTAAAAATATCAATATTTTCATCGTTAGAGTAAAATAGTATTCTCCGGCGTAAATGTAAGGTGTATTTGGAATTGATTTTTGTTTATTTTTGAAAACGTTTTTGCGTATCTTTTGAGGCACAAAAATGAAAACGTTTTACAAATCGTATTTGTTTAGTAAATATTTTAAAAATAAAAAATAATAATAATAAAAATAATTTTTGTAAATGAATTAAAAAATAATTAAAAATTATTTTTTTATTTTTATTTTTTAGTACTTATTAATAATATTATAATATATTAATTAATAAGTATAATCAATTTCACTTGTTTATTATACTTAAAATAATTTTTGGGCAGTGGTGCAACAAGTTTAAAAAGGCTGCGGTGGCATTTTGTGTAAATGAGGATTATGGTAACATCAATGAGGATTATTTGTAATGATGACATATATTCACCTTTGGAGAGACCAAAGACGGTCATCACTCATCATGATGATCAACATTATTACGGTCTGACCGGCATTTCATCATCATGATTGGAAACACATGACACAAGTCCACTCGTGATCGACGGATATTGTGGGATAATCCGACGGTATAAATTATTGCATGTATTACACAGTATTTCGCTTCATCTTTTGGTTTCCCACAGTTCTGTTTCAGCAGCTACTTTTTTGGAAAATTCGTCAGTTTTTTCCTGTTCTTTTTTCCCTAGCATCAACTTGGTACTCTAGTTTTTTACTTTAATCTTTGCCTTCGTGACAACATTAATACAATCAAACGGTACATTCCATGTTTCTTTCACCGCTTCGTCCATGTGAATTAGAGCCATACCGTATTTGTTTTTTTTTTGCCTATAATAAGTTTGTATACATGTGAATATTACTATTTACTAGCTAGCTTGTGACACCAAGTTATATTGCAAGAGATCACAAGATTCCATGGTCTACTTGTGGATTAGCTAATTTAATTAATGGGTTTTAAGTACACTCTTCTGTCGAAAAATTACTTACAAAATCTTATGTCTCTCCCGGTGTCGATATTGGATTACCAATGACTTGTTAAGGTAAGTGAGCATAATCAATGAAAACCAATAAATTAGTGTAACAATAACGATATTTTTCTTTCTTCTCTTCCCAAAATACGCGTAGAGTATAATATTTCATAACTCCAGTTTAAAATTCTTGTCCGATCAACGTGAGTGCCATGAGTGAAAATTATACTCGTTCTTAAAATAAAATTGGGTCGAGTAATTTTTGTTCTATTAGTGGATCTCGATATTTGTAAAATGACTAAAGAGATGAAGATGTAAGGATAGAATGCCATCAATAATCTTCTTTTCTCCTGAGGGAAAAAAAATAAAAAAGGAGTATATCCAATGAAAATATTGGTTGGACATAAAACAAGGCATCAAAATTTCTCCGAGAATCAAATATTTTTAATTATAAGAAAACATTACTAGTGGCTTATTATGACTATATATATACATATATATACATAGCTAGGTTAAGTACTAACAGTGGTGGAATTGTCTTCTTCTAGGAAAATGACATATACTGATCCAATTTATTAGCTTAGGTACTAACAGTGGGTGTGATCAAGTACTTAACACATGATGTACAGAGTATGAAACAATACAAAACGTCAAACATTTAAGTTGAAATCAATGTCTAGCTAGTGAGCACATGAAGAGAGACACAGAACACATTGCATATTAACAAAGACACGTACTCCCATAAAGTCAAAGCCTAGATATTTGTCGTCCACCAATATTGACATATATATATATGTATATATATATATATATAATATACGACACATAGTAGATAGTACTCCCTAAGTCCAATTCCGTTGTTGTTACGGCGGGGACCTTTTCTTACTTCACTACAATGTCCAGGACATTCTATCTACTCGTGTTAATAATCTTTTAATCTAGATTACTCTCTCTCTCTCTCCTTTTCTTATATTAAGAACTCGTTTTGTATATTTATTAAGAGCCCGTTTGGTTCATAGATTAAAACCATGAGATTAGAATTATTTTCGATTTACGTGCGTTTTTTGTGAGAGAAAATACTGT